AAGTTTTACTACATTCACGGGTACAACCTGTGTAAGTTTTACTACATTCACGGGTACAAACCTGTGTAAGTTTTACTACATTCACGGGCACAACCTGTGTAATTTTTACTATATTCACAGGTACAACCTGTGTAAGTTTTACAACACTCATGGGTACTTTAAAAAGACTACATCTATCCTAACCACATATTATAATAACTTAATTTAATGAAAATTTTACCTTAAATCTATGTAGCCTAAATTTTGGGAAGCAGCTCCCAAGGGAGGCATAGATAGTCAAGGGGGAGGTCACAGAACTAAGACTATAAATTACATCAGAAAATACAAAATTATAAAAAAAAGTTTTAAAACTACCATATAAGTATTACTACTATTAAGTAATATAATAATATCAACGAACACAGGAAAATGATGGGTGGGAGCGCAACAAAACTCATATGTAGAAAGAAAAGAGACTATAAACAAAATTTGTGTACCACTGCCCTAAAATCAGGATTACGTAGATTTATACGCCCGACTATCAGTTATCGTTTTCACAGAAAAAAATAAAAACTACTTTACTTATTTGCCATATTTACTATTAACACTGAAACTGAAGTATGTAAACCACATATTTGTATTTACACTCCATTTCATAGAGAAATACAAGTACTAACACTACAACACGTGTTAATTTTCAAATATTTACAGGAGAAGTATCACTTACTGGATGAAAGTAAACATCTTCATATCTTGATGACAAATTTTGTAGAAGCTCTTTATCTTCTTTGTTTTGTGTATCTTTTATCACATCTACATAGTCCTTTCTGAAGTAAATGATATATTATCATTAACATACACAAGTAGAAGCCTCATAAATGTAAACAAACAATACATCAGTTTTCATCTGTCGTGTTCTGATACTAACTAAACACGAGCAACACCCAGCACAGTAAAGTTTCAAAAAAACAGATAACAGTTTGGAATGTTCTGACTTTATAGCTGTTTGAAACAGAAAATACAGTCTGTCATTATTATGTTCCAGTTATTTTATCACTTATTATTTTTCTGAATGTAGGTATAATAATAATACATATTGTTTTACAGACAAAATTATGATTAGTATATAATTGAATAGAGTTGTTTAAACATTTGTTTAACAACAACTAAAAGCTTTGAATGGTCTATCCTTTCATTAGGGTTGTGTCTGTGAGCCAGACTAGTTTCAGAGAATTATTATTTGTGACTTTAATCTTATAAGTTTGTAAAGTTGAAAGTTAAAACTTGGATTAAAACAACGAAAACTCACTTTCCAATACATGGAAACAAAGTTCTATGAAAACAGAAACATCAAAAAAAAATAAACATAAAATTAATAACAACTTCTGGTTAAAGCAAGCAAGCTACCCACAAAGATCATAACTAAGAAACCAACAGGGTAATAAATATTGTTAAACAAATTTACTGCTGTTACATTCTTACTTATATAGATTAAAATGCAATGTTTTGTTAGCTTGATACCCTTAATATTAACAGTATATTTGGTCATAATCCAGTAATAATTGAAGAGGTTCTAGATGCTCTAATCAGTACAACATTTTGGTCATATATAAATTCTGAAAAATCATATCATTCAATAATGGGAGGAAATACGATAGGACTCGGAAGCTTTTACTCGGTACTGAGAAACGTCAATTGAAAAACTGTAATCAAATTTAATCTTAACACGGGAATAATGTGTTTCTCATCCAAATACAGCAGAAAGATCCCCCGTCTATGAACTCATACTTCAATCGAAATAAATCATGAGGTGGATTACTGTGGACTTGAACCGACAATGGTAAGGGTGGTCTACAACCTCTGAGTCTAGTGGATTATTGTGGGCTTGAACCAACAATGGTAAGTGTGGTCTACAACCTCTGAAGTCTAGTGGATTATTGTGGACTTGAACCAACAATGGAGTAAAACTAAGCAGTGTCTGCATAACAATAATGAATAATTGGTTAGTTTATGTCCAGAAACATACAAGATTCTTGGTCCACACAATTATGGCCAATAGAACTAGGGTTTAGTCATCATGACACAATAATGGTACAGATATTAACAGCAAAAGATATCTATGGTGAGGTAGCTTTACCAAAGCTCAAAGTTGAGAGAAACCAGAGATATATGAAGCCAATACTTCACTTCAAATTATACTGGCATCAACCTGGCCAAAAATTACTAAAAACCAAAAACAAGAGATAGTTCCTACCTTACACATCTATTTCTGTCAACAGCGTAACCTGGTTTAGAAAGTTTTATGTGAATGTTCCTACCTTACACATATATTTCTGTCACCAGTATAACCTGGTTTAGAAAGTTTTATGTGAGTGTTCCTACCTTACACATCTATTTCTGTCACCAGTATAACCTGGTTTAGAAAGTTTTACGTGAATGTTCCTACCTTACACATCTATTTCTGTCACCAGCGTAACCTGGTTTAGAAAGTTTTATGTGAATGTTCCTGCCTTACACATCTATTTCTGTCACCAGTATAACCTGGTTTAGAAAGTTTTATGTGAATGTTCCTACCTTACACATCTATTTCTGTCACCAGTATAACCTGGTTTAGAAAGTTTTATGTGAATGTTCCTACCTTACACATCTATTTCTGTCACCAGTATAACCTGGTTTAGAAAGTTTTATGTGAATGTTCCTACCTTACACATCTATTTCTGTCACCAGTATAACCTGGTTTAGAAAGTTTTATGTGAATGTTCCTACCTTACACATCTATTTCTGTCACCAGCGTAACCTGGTTTAGAAAGTTTTACGTAAATGTTTGTGTTAATAATTTCTTGTTTCAGCATAGGAAAGACAACTTTCAAAGTTTTGTGTGTTATACTTTTAAATAATTCATGTTTTTAGTTTTTTTAAACCATATTTTATATACGTTTCTCAATAACTTATAACAAATATTTCTGTAGCAAAACTCTACATTTATTTCATACACACTGTGTTACACTATCTTTAATGTTACAGAACTGACTGTTTTACTTCGTAATACCACACAATTTCTACTGTGGATATCAGAGTAAGTATACTTCCAATCTAGATGTGAAGTTTTCAATAGGAGTAAAAGAAGCTTGAGGAAAATGCAGGACTACGTTAGCCATCAGATAATCTGACTTAAGTCTATTTCAAAAGCTGTATGAAGTAGTAGATAATGAAAGCTGAAAGTAAACTTTCCGTTTCACATGCTTTATTCTTCTCCTTAAGCTGAGTAAAGTGTCATA